ATTTCCTAGCTATGAATCTTTAAGGTATTAGACACAACGTTGGATTTAGTTTTACAAGATACAAAATGTAAACATGGCAAAATAAATAGTTAAAACAAGTGATGCAGGATCCCGTTTCATGCTCATGATCCCAACAAAGAATTATTTTAAAAATCCATTCAGTTGCAAATTCAAGTGCAAAAGCATGATGATGAATATCTACTATTCAAGTAACAGAAATAATATTGATGATACAAATAAACTATTTTACAAGGTAGTGATTTTCCCGATTTTACAAAATATACATTGTATATCGATCGAAGGTCCGATATACTGTAGTCCTTTTCGGTGCATCGTACGCTCTGTGACCCGCAGAGTCGCCGTGTGCGTTCAGCTGGAATATGAATGCCTGCACACCGTCGGCACAGCCACAGCCAGAAGTTATGTCACTTCCATGGCCACTGTCGTCTCTGCTATTCCATTTAGACCCAATCTCTCTGGTTCATGGTTCTCTCTATAATAAGGCAAAGAGTAAAAATTAGGATTAGCACTCTCTACAGGAAGATATTTATTATTTACAGGAATTTTAAATGTAACTAAATATGTGTTTGCAAAAATATATGTACAAATCCAGGACAGGAATGAGGAAGCTTTCTTCAGCTCAGAATTCCTAATCAATTGATGATAATTATTTATTTAGGAAAGGTAAAAATTTAACACAGTTATTTCAGTAAAAGCCAAAGATACTCTTTATTTGTAAGAACTACAACAGGATATCAAGCTCTTCTGTTTCTTTTAACAATATAGATGGGACATATGATGCTCAAAAATAATAACCAGTAGGAACATGATGTTACTTGAATTCCTCCCCTTTATGGTGTTAAAGGCCATGTACTTATCAACACACACAAATCCCTTTCCCCCTCCCTTTCTGATTCACTGTTCTCTTTGCATCATAGAAAACAAGATAAAAAAAAAATCACTTTCCAAAATACATGATCAGACTTAGTATCAGAAAATTCTCGACACAAATTTACAAACAGATTAAATTATTTAATATTCTTTGTGCATAATGCTGAATTTATTGCCATTAGGTTGATCTCAACCTATGACGACCCCAAAGACAGAGCAGAACTGCTCCCTCAGGTCGACAAGGCTGTCAGTCCTCATGGAAGCAGACGGCCACCTTCCCCAATAGCTAACCCACTGCTGCCACCGGGCCTCCTGTGAAATAAATACACTGAAGAAAACGGAATTCGGAACCACAGCGCTGAAGTTCGTGATAACGCTACCCATTGAGACTTTCTAAACTGCAAAAGCAGTGGGACAGTGGAAAATAGGAAGCCCTTCCAGGAGATGGACCGACACAGCGAAAACCGCAGTAGCTGCACCGAGGGGTCCAACATAAGAACAATCGTGAGTGCAGCACAGGACCAGGCGGTGTTTCACTTCGCTGTACAGAGCGGGTCACTGTACGTCTGGGCAGATTCGATGGCACCAAACAACAACAACCACAAGCTACTAAAGAGAAATCTAAGATAGGATTCTTGGATGCACTTGTTAAATATCTGATGTTTTTACAGCTCTGGTTGGGCGCGAGCGTCCTACCAGCTAACTCAAGTAATGAAAGCCACAGAGCTTCACACTAAGAAGACCCTCAGTATCTGTCCATGGATATTCTGCTTTAGGAACGCACAATGTCTTCTCCCTCCTATGGAGCAGCCAGAACAAAAGGAGAGAGCGGTGCTCAAAACACACACACCCCACGCACACACCTGGCTATACTGCTGATGGCACTGCTGGGAGTAACCTTTGGCACTCTGTCCATACTGGCAGCAACTGTGGCAAGTTTTAAGGCTGTTGGCGATGGTGCTGAAGTCCTTGTATTGATATGCACATTGACTGGTGAAACAACACTGACATTATTGAGGTGCACGGCATTGGTCAGGCAGGAATTGTTCATGGGAAGTGTTTGAGGACTGCTTGTGCACAATGCTGGGATTAAGTGGTTTGTAGTGGTGTGGCCAACTGTCCTTACAAGTTGTACAGCTGAAATCCCTGGGTTGGATGATAAAGCCATACTGGTGGAGTACAATGGTTTAGAGGTTCCTGATAAAAGAGAAAAAATAAAAAAATTTAAAAAAAAGAAAAAGAAAAAATATCATTCAATTTATGCTATGGGGCATGATTAAACTCTTGAAATGTTAGTTAACCTGAAAATAAATGTGAGCATTCTGAGTCTAATTAAATAACAAGTTACTTTTACACACTACAGCTTCTCGAAAGAGACCTTCTGGATAGTAGGTATGATGTACTATTTGTCCAAAGGCCCTCTTTTGATAGGCTTGCACAAAGGAGACTTGCAAATACTCTGCTGCCTCCGTGCTGGGGACTCTGGAGGCAGCAGAACAAGGCAGAGAGGCCCTGGTCAGAGTTCCTTTTTGGAGGGTGGGGGTTGATAGAAATGAGAGAGGTTTAGAGATGCAATGCACAAGCATTCATAAGGATGGACAACCACGATCATGCACGCATGCATCTTAAAAGCAACTGGGAAGAAACCCTAGGATCTGAGAAGTATTGGAAAGATGATAGGAACAGCTAGAATTTTTGAGGATTCAGGGTAGCAAGAAGCAGACAGGGTTTCAGAAGTTGGAAAAAGTATGCCTATTAAGGTCTACGGGTGGAAAGGTAACCCTTTGCAAGTTCATTAACAGACCAATGGATTACAGTTCATCTTTTTACCAATGCCCTGCAGTGAACGGGTGCTTCGATGGTGAAGGGTGCTGACTAGCTCACTGGGTTTTCAACGCGTTAGGGTGACACGAGGAGTGGTGGCAATCCCCTCACACGAATCCTTAGAAATAACGCAGAGAACTAACTGATGGGCCTCTTCTACACCATGTTCCCTTTGAATTTAAAACTACGTCAGAAACAAAAACGACACCCCAAATCGGTGAGTTACAACTGGAAGCCAGGAGTACCATGTGAAAGCCTGACCTTACCTGAAGGCTGGATCACACCGTTTATGTTGCTGTGGCCGGTGTTCTGCTCCTTGGCCGCCTCGCTGCGACCTGGAACAGGTGCACTGACCACTGCCGATGCAGCGAAGTGGGCGCTGGCTGAGTCAAGTGTTTTCGACAGACAGTCAGATGTGCTCAAGCCCTACAAGATGAATAAAGTGAGACTCAATTTTCAAGATGCAGTATCAGAAACATGCTACGGAATACGGCCAATCTAAGAGACTTCTGCTTTCTAATTTTAAAGAGCTACATGTGTTTAGATATCGAGACCCACGGCTTCAACCATTTCTGGCATGGAAGAGACTAAACACGGGACACCTACTATTTCTGAGAAAGAGGGAGAAGATGTGTGTGGGTGGGTGTGGGGAAAGGCCTTTTAATGCTCTATACATTTTCCTTATGAATACTAATGAATGCCGACGATTTAGCTACTATGATCTAGTGGAAATCACAGAGATGATGAACAGTCATTTTTGCCACAATGTGAAAATGAATCTTGGCCTAACCACACAGTAGACTGAAATATTTTATGCTGATTATACAAGAGACTTAGAAAAAGCAGACAGTGGAGAGCCAATGACCATTCATCCTTGTTTCTAAGACAGTACAGGTTAACTGCTACGAACATTCAATAGTTCTAGGCTGTGGGCCGGTCTCAGATCCACCCAATTGTCACAGGAGTGTGTGATGTGTCTTAGGGACACTGAGATTTTCCTGTCATTGAACGTCATCTTCAAGGTCAGTGTATGCCCTACAAAGAAACACTTGTACTTTGAGGCTTTGGGGACTGAGAACAACCCTTTGAGGATGAACGCGACCTCTTTGGGTAGATCCTTGCTTGACAGCTCACCAAGCACAGCCATCACCGAGTTTACCACAACCATTACTCTGGAATTTGATTATCCAATGAAGGGATAAATTGAGAATCAAAGTGAGAGCAATAATATCACAACGCAAATGGAGCAACAACTTTAAGACCTATACCGTAAAACTTTTTTTTCCAGCTACTAAAATGTCAAATCTACTTCCCAATTATAAATATTTTTGTTCTGATCTCTAGGGCCTTCTCTAAGAGCCCAGGTGGCATAGTTATTTTATGCGGGACTGTGATCCACAAAGTAAGCTGTTTGAAACCGTTCCTAGAAGACAAATGGGGCTTTCAATTCTCATTACCAGTTACTATGTCAGAAATCACAGGGGCAGTTTTAGCTGCCTTATCGGTCACTATGAGTCACAGAAGACTCAATGGAAGTGAATTTTTTTATTTTCACACTAGTCACTTAAATGATATAAATTGGAAAGAAACCCGTTATAGTTTAAAAAGCAAGAGTACCAATAGCAAGGTTATGTTCTGCGACTTGAGAACTGAACAAAAGTACTGACTAGGAAACAAAGCAGGAGACGTGGCATGGTGTAAAAAGGCAGGTTTACCTGTGCTTTTGGATGCGTCTGTTGCGCGGAAGGCTGAGATTGTTGTTTCTGCTGAAGCTGAGCGAGCTGCTGCCTTTGCATTTGAGCTAACTGCTGTTGATGTGTCTGAAATTGCTCTTCTGTGATACCCCCTGTCACTGGTAAAGGACATTAATTTCAGAAATAAGTAAATCTTCAAAGTATTTTTAATAACCTGAGCAGAATACAATACAAACTTATTTCACAACTACAAATCACAATCTACATCATCAGTAAAGGACCCAATAAAAACGATACCTTTCAACAAGATTGGTTCACATGATACACTGAAAACCGTGACACACACAGAAAGGCTTTCATCTGTAGCGTTTACTCTTTAGTTCTATTACTTGGATTCTATCTTTTATTCAGTTAGTTACTTTTGAGATCACGCTCAAGTCTCATGCATGCTAATTATGCAATGGGAAAAAAACTTTTATTTATTGATACAAATGATATTCCCTTAATAAGAAAACAAAACTATCTGCAAGACTCTAAATGACTCTTATTATGGGTTTTCATCTATGAGAGTTAAGTGAACATACTTTTGTGATTGTAAATCAGAGTAGAAGACACAGATATTCATCCAGCAAAACAATAAATCACAGTTAAGCCAGTTTGATCTATAAAAGTACTCATTAAGAACAAGAGAAATGTTGATGAACTTAGGATGTTGTGGTTAGATGTAATCAATTGTTGTGACCAAACAGAGTATGCTAAAAGTTAGTGAATTTACAATGAAAACAAAACACTGGAAACTTCTGCCTAAAAGTCCAGCTGAAACTACCCCTGATCACTTTTTAGCAAATCAACAGATTGGCCAAAAAAAAAAAAAGGATATTATCCACCAGTATAGCATTCAATTTAAAAAAGTCTACACGAGACCAAAAGGTCAACAATACTTTAAAATATCGGTTCTCAACCTGTGGGTCGCGACCTCTTTGGAGGTCCAACGACCCTTTCACAGGGGTCGCCCGATTCATAGCAGTAGCAAAATTACAGTTATGAAGTAGCAACGAAATAATTTTATGGTTGGGGGGGGGGCCACTACAACATGAGGAACTGTTAAAACACCACAATGACACATTCTGAAGAAGAGACCTGCTGTCACTGAACAGTATGTATGGAAACCGTCAAAGGGTAAGGGAATTTGTTGTACAAACACCCACTGTAAATATGACCCCCCAAAATCCAACAATAAAAAACTTTTAAGATTTTTTTAGAAAAGATGTACTGTATACATGAGTATAAGCCGACCCGAATATCAGTGGAGGCACCTAATTTTACCACAAAGACATGAGAATATATGGTAAACAAACCTTCATTAACTGATCTTTACATAGGTCACTGATAAAGTGATTTAGAAGACACAAAACTATTTTCATACAGTAGTACATTCTTAGAATATGGAAACATTAAATCACAAAATACATGCAGTAATATTGCCATATTCTGATTGACTTGTTTCTCCTGATTGTTTTACTTACTCCATAAATATCTACTATGATGCAGTGTGGGGGCATTAAGAGTTGTAGTGAACAAAGGAAAAATAAGTAAAACAGAGGGCCCCTGACATGAGCTATACAGTCAAACTGGGAATACTAAGTTGAGCCAACCTTTACATACAAATGAACAATCTGATCGATGTGACTGAATGGAGTTTATCCTCTCACCCCAGGGCACTTAACTCTCCCATAGATTTCTTCTTAGTAGGACTACAAATACATTTTTTTTAAAGTTTGTTTTTTATGGGAAATTAGACATATAACAAGTTATGCTTAAGCACCACCACCAGTCCTTTGTAGTCAATTGATTCTGAATCGTGGGGACCCATGTGTCAGAGACCTGCGCTCACAGGGTTTTCAGATGACCAGCCCTTCCTTCGATGGCACCACTGGGTGAGTTCAAACTGCTTCTTCCACCCACAGCAAGGTATACATAGAATACCTTATTTACTAAGCGACCTCCCAGGACCTCGATAAGGGGTAATCTTTATGTGTAGGGCACCTAACATTATCATGAAAACTTGGGGCTATTACAGCGCTCACTGGGAAGTTGTAGTGTTCCCTGTATCTGTGAAGTATACAGTAGTTATCTTAATAACTTATCCACATAATCAAATGTCTTTCTATGCACATGTTACATTCACTGTCTGTGTTCTATTTTTAATGGGGGAGGGGCTTCTTTCTAAATTTTCAGTTTTCAAAAATAAATATCTAAAGTGCTCATGAATGTCCAGCTGCCTGTAAACCTTGGGAATAGAGATGAGAAATAGTGTGTTAGATAAAAGGCAAATGAATCTTTCGATGCAAAGAATGAGAATCTCTTTATTTTTCCAAAAATTCAAATAGTTAAGCCTTCGTAATTCAGATTAACTAGTATGGAAACTAGTGGGCTGAGCAATCCAGCATTTGTTGTTGTTAATGGTGTATAACTGGCAAAGTACTGCCAATTATGGCAAATGTGCCTTTATGATCATTTGTCATGTAAAAAAGGGGTGATACATTGCCCGTTTTAAAAAACACACCTATAGTTATTGCCCCGCCTTGTCATGACCATTTCCCCATAGAATTCTAAAATTCTGTCCCAGATTTAACACAAATTAATTACAACCAATGAGCCATCATTCTCATCCTAGTTAGGCTGCTTTTGACACTAGAAACCTTGCCACAAATCTCATTCTTAGTAGCATATCAATGACATAAACATAATTTTATAAAATGGATATGCTTTGAGAAATTACGTTCATTTTCTTTCCCCCTCTTACCCCCTGTACTCCATATAGGAACTCTCCCTTCTTGACATCTAGCATTTTCTCTGCTTTAATAAGGTGGTCTGTACTTAAACAAGCTGATGTATGTGTCTGCCAGAATGTTGTTGGGTATGGTTTAGTATTACTCCAACTCTTTAGACAAAAACAGTAACATAAAAACATTAAAAACCATACCCCTTTTGACTCCTTTCACTGCCCTAGAGTGACAGAAAGGGGTAAGAACTTAGGATTTTCATGGCACGGACATCAACATTTTAACTGACATCCTCAGGGATGACTTAGTAGTTTGTAGGAAAAGGGTGGAAATTTGATTGAAAGCAACTCTTCTGCTAGTTACTTTTCCTTTCATAAAAATAATAAAAGCCAAACTCAATGCCACGAGTCCATGCTGACTCACAGAGACCCTATAAGACAGTTAGGATTGCCCCTCTGAGTTTCCGAGGCTGTTTAACTATTAAATGGAGTAGAAAGCTCTTTCTCCCAAGAGCAGCTGTGGTTTCGAACCTCAAACCTTGTGGATTGCGCACTTAACTTGTAACCACTAAGCTACCAGGACTCCTCTCATAATAAAATAGAAAGCTCTTTCTCCCAAGAGCAGCTTGTGGTTTCGAACGTGGTTTCGAACTTCAAACCTTGTGGATCGCAGACTTAACTTGTAACCACTAAGCGACCAGGACTCCTCTCATAAGTTACTGAACTACACCCATGAGATTTATTTCTTCAATGACTTTTCATTGAGGGCAAGCATTCATTCCTACCAAGAAAAGCTCAGTGGTAGCAGGAACACATTTGTTTAGGAATTAAGCAGAGGCAAGGGCTCAGTTTTGTGTGAGGTACCAAAACTACTCGCTATCCTATCAACTCTGGCTCTTGGCGAGCCCGGGTGTGTGTCAGAATAGGGATCCACAGGGTTTCCAATGGTGGAGCTTTGCAGGTAGACTAGGGGTCTTTCTCTGCAGATGCGCCTGAGGACACACACCAGCAACCTTCCAGGAAAGCAGCTGAGGGTTCTAACTATTTGCAACACCAAGGGCCTTCACCATTCGGCTATAGGCACAGGGACATGTTAGATCCAATATTTTGAAAATGACCAGAATAGATATTTAAACCCTTGCAAGTCCTGTCTGTAAACCTGGCTGTCTTGTCAAGGTGGTAATATTTCACTGTTCAAGTGAAGTATCCATACTCCTTAGTAAGCAATTTTGTCTCTCATGTACACCGATTACATCATTCCAAACACTAGTAACATAATTGCATCTTAAAATATATTAAGTTTATAAAAAAGTCTGATTTTCACTAAGGCCTGTATCTAGCTCATTGCCTATCCTTGGGTTTATCAATCAGTTTTTGTTCTTGAGAAAAATCTGTATACGCTTAGAATACCATCCCTTAGAATGCTAATCCTGTTTCTAACGGTGCTTCGCTTCATTTTCCAGCATTCGGATATGTGACCCTCATAGTCTGTCTTGAGTTGACCTCTATCTCTTTTCCTTCCCATCTTCTGACAGTCACCCACCAAATATGCAGTTTACACTAGTGCAATAAAAGTACTGTTTCTTAAACTTCACCCCTCAATTACTCTTGAGTAAAGTATTCTTGGTAATTCTTCAAATTTGAGAAATGCAGGCCCAAACCAGGTTTTCACAGTTTAGTGAAGAACAACAAATGTGGTTATCTTAATTTCACAATGGACATATTATGCAGCATTTCTTCTGTTCCAGGAATTTTACCATATGTGCCGAATAAAGCAAAGAGGAGTAAATGCAAATTTGTTTTCAGGCACAGATCTGGGGCTGTTATTCGGGGGATTTAAGATCCAATCACTAGTTGGATTTCAAAGCATTGAGAGTCAGATGAAAGTTCATATATTCCAAGATATTTGGAATCTGTCAAAGTATTGGTATTTATGCCGTATATTGAGTCAGAAAAGAAAAAACCCCAAACATTAATGTACAGCTATTAGTCAAAAACAAAGATAAATGTAAATGATTCTGGTCCTTCACATCTGCACAAGGGAGGCTACTTTTGGATAAAAGCCTATTTTTTTGAGTTTTGAGTCACACAGTGAGTTAAGCATTAGGTTGCCAAATACATGGTCAGAACTTCAAACCCACCAGCTAGCTGCTCCTAGGAAGACAGACGAGGCTTTCTGCTCCTAGAAAGTTAATACTCTCAGAAACTCTAGAGCCGTTTGGCTTCTCCTACAGGAAATCTGGAATTATGAAGACAAATCTAATGCTTAAAAATTGGCACTGTCTATCCAGGATTTCAGAAAGCCTATAATTTTATGCTCTCACGGGTAAAGACAGACTAAAGAATAAACTGGGAAACTGAGGAAGTGGGGAA